CAGAAGAGTTCTGTACAGAAGTTTTACTCCTCATCTGTCTTTCTACATCAGTTTCTGTAGCGTAGTGGCCATCGCAACCGAGGAGCTCACGTGTGGAGTTTTATGTCTGAGTCTTGGCTGGTTGAGCTGTATCTGAACTTCTTCTAAAGTCAGACACTGTGTGAGTCACGCTGTACGTCACGTGTGGGCAAAGCCTACGATCTGAATACTCACGCTGGCCCACTTTGATCAAGCATCTCGGAGTAAAAGCGCTGATCTAAGATCAGGTCACGGAATTTTATTCAGCGTTAGATACAAAGCATATCGCTGCTGTCGGAAGAAAACCTTGCATCTCCATTTTTTGTTTTTCAGTTTTTGACATATTTGAAAATGCCTGTTACCCTTTACGTTGTGTGTAAATTTCATGATGAATGGACCAAAAGAAACGACCCAAAATAACTTGGAAAAATGTCTGGTTCCATTGACTTACATTAAAAGTAAAGTATGTTTTTCCTTCTCCTGTAAAGTTACTATTTTGGAGGTTTTCTTCCAGGAAAGATCCTAGATTAGTATTATTACTCCAAGACGTTTGATAAACGTAAACGCTCCGTCCATTCTACGCAAAACACAGCCTCTACAGACAGCTCTGTCCATGATCAACTTCAGATAAAGCTAAGACTGTGTACTGAAGCTAAAAGCATGTGGTGACGTTCACGGTAGGACAATGCAGTTTCTCTGCAGCCTCTTTAAAATAAATAAATAAAAATAACACTATATTAACGTTTATACCTCGCTATTCTATTCAGTCAAACAGACTAAAGTCAGTAACCTTCTTAGAAGCAGTTGTTGTGTAAATGAGTGGAATGTACTTTAACAGTTAAATCCTTAAACTTTAATTTTAAAGGAAGTATCAAGCTATGCTATGGATTGACTTGCGCTGCAATAAAGAAGAGTGGGTTTTGTTGTTTTGTTGTCACGCTGTACATTTGAATACACCATCATCAACACCTATGACACCTTCACACAATATGAATACGCTCAGTTGATGCTATGTGAAACCCAGCCCTTACAGACATGGCTGCGTACAGACAACTTCGAATAAAGCTGCTTCATTCAAAATAACATGCTGTGCACTGAGTACTGAGCAGAAATGCTGAGAAACTGAGCAGCTTTGCTAACACTGAGCACTGAAGCTAAAAATAGGCGCGATGTCCACGGAAGGACGACTTTGTGTCCAGCTCACACGGAGGCAAAGTCCATTAAAATGTCATCAAACTTGGGAACTGTGGAAAATTTGCACTTGTGTATACGTGTTCACCTTCACTGCGTTCGTCCATTAGCGCAGCGGTGTACACTTACATCACCCGGTATCAGCTGGTACCAAAAAGTTGGTATTGGTGAATTTTTATGAGTACGAGTAAATGACCACAGTATCGGGCAAAATGCCTGATACCAGTATTGGTATCGATGCATCCCTAACAAAAATATAACTATGAAATGTTTCAGCTGTGCTCCTCTGTGTGTTTCTCAATTTTCCTTCATGCTACTTAATGTTTTAGTTTGTTACAACAAGTGCTGCAGATGCTACCAGGTTGCCATAGCAACAGTAATGAAGGGAGGGAGGAATTTACGATTTACTTGATGATAATGTTGAATTATGCCTAAGGCAGGATATGCCCAAAGCCTACTTCCACATGACACCTGATTTATTTTGGAAACAAAACAAAGTCAATATGTGCTCTACAACAGAGCAAAGGGTTACAAAGGCAACTCCATTAGGTTACAAGGTTGAACTTTTAGGTTCTACTGCAACCACCTTTAAATCTTACCTAAAATTAGATACAACAGAAGGACATAATATTTTCTATGAATTACATCACAGGTTCAGAATACACATTTGTGACTAAACAATTTGACCACAGCTTAACTTAGACGGCATTGTTTTGCCAGGGCCACCAGCAGCTGTACGTCATACTGTCGGCCCTTCTCTCCGGGTTTAAGAGTGATCGGGCTTTGTTATGGTTTTACGTGATTTAAAGTTCTCTGCCACATAAACATTTCAAACAGTCTGGCCACTCCATAGAGGGGTCCACCTTAAAAGCGCCATAATCCTGCCACTGGTTCTAAACACAGCTCAGCCTGTGACGAACGCAGGGCTGCGAACGCAATGAGTCACAGGTGCCGGGCTGTTTCTCACTTTGTGCAAGTGGAAAAGTCATGAGGCCACACGTGAGAGAAAGCACTGACCAGGACATCACCAAAACCTTTACATAGGAGCATCTGTCAGTACAGACACAACAACACACAACACTCGGTGGTCAAACACTAAGCTACATAACACACACACACACACACACACACACACACATTATATATATATATATATATATATATATATATATATATATATATATATATATATATATATACATATAAATATGTAAATGTAATATAATATATACACACACACACACACACACCATATATATACATACACACACACACACACACACACACATATACATACACATATATGCACATACACATATATGCACATATATATATATATATATATATATAGAGCTGCTGTCGGATGAAAACCTGGTAACTCCATTTTTGTTGTTTTTTGGGTTTTGACAATGTGAAAATATCTGTTGCTCTTCACATTGTGTGTAAACTTAACGATGAATGGACTAAAAGAAACGATCCAGAATTACTTGGAAAAATGTGTGGCTCCATTGACTTACATTAAAAGTAGTGTAGGTTTTTTCCTTCTCCTGTAAAGTTACCATTTTGGAGATACAAGGTTTTCTTCCGACAACAGAAACACATACATACAAACGTACATAAATAAACACACACACACACACACACACACACACAAAAAACTACACATGTGCACTTAAAAAAGAAAGCAAATTCGCAAGAAGCAAATTCATTTTAGGCTCATTTTGTCATTTTCATCACTTTAATCACAATTTTACACTTTATTTCTTTATTTCTATGCTGACACAAATAACTTAAAACAAGTAATAACCACCACACATTCTTAAAATGGCCTTACACACCGCACACAACACGACACAACACAACACCACTTTCTTTAAAAACAATGGCCTGTGTGAAATAATCCAAATGAGGAATGAAGCTTATTGGGCATTTACACACTGGAGCGTGCCCAGTAATGATACATGAACCAGGAATGAGTATATAAGGAGTGTGACACACATTACACATGAAACTTTTTAATGAAAAATATACCCACTTAGGCCTACTTCATAACAGCCAAGGCACATTACATGAACAAGATGAAGCATAAGAAAAAGGACAAACTCCACATTCTTTCATTCTTTCTAATGAGATTATTAATTGGGTGGGTAGGTGGTTATTCCCACCCCCACCACTCACATGCTCGGTTTGGGCTCTGCAATGGTTATAGGCTCTAAAATGGTATCGTAGCTCACATTAAAACATGCACATCCTGAAATAACTACACAAAAAATGAGACCAATTTAATTCATAAAAGTTACTGTTTACAAACTACTGTACATCATGTACAGTGTTTTTCCATACAGGTCTAAACAAGAGGGGGAAAAAATAAATAAAGAAAGAAATACTGGCCTTGCTGAGACCTCAGTTCATGAGTACTGCTGGAACAGTGCACTCGAGGCTGCACTCGACAGCACACTCACAAACACTTGGAGCACCAAGTGAACAAGCTTATAAGCAAACAAGCACCACGGAGAGTTTCACTGCTCCTCGCTATTGTGAAAGCACTCAGGGTTCACTCACATTTTCACTCACGATTGCTGTCAGTAAGAGCTTTGGCCCGGACCCTGCCCTATTTGCATCTCGCCAAACTCACCGACTGCATTCGCGCTAACCAGCGGCAACCTTGACTCTGATATTTCAGCGAGACCCTTGACCTAAGCCAATGCTGACTTTGATTCAAGGTCAACTTTCTCTAATACAAATATGAGCCATGAGGCCGAGCTGAGTCACACATTGCGCACTGGTGGAAGTTCAACACTGATTTTGGGCTGTTTTTTTTTGTTTGTTTGTTTTTGTTTTGTTTTTTTTAAACACTTGACTGGTCAACAAATTCAAAGGCAATCTCAGCCTATCAGCAGCAAACAAAAACAGGCCTAACCTTATACTAAATGTGTCATTTCTGCAGACAGCAAACATCCTATAGTACAGTTTTTTTTCTCACTCAATGAGTAAATTAACATCAGTGTTTCGCACAACTCACAACTTTGTTTCTTACAAGCTGGTGAAACCACAACAGCACAATAAAACCTGTGCACACTGGCTAACCCTGCCAAAACGTGTGCTCCAATACATTCTGTGGTGTTAAAGTTTCAGAGCATTCAACATGTTTTATCTTGACCATATTCACCACCTGGGTTTTTTGTGTAATGTGCACTACTGATGGTTTGTTTAGTGCAGTTTTGCACACATTTTCACTCAAGGACTGCAGCTCCTGAAGTCCTTCAGTTCATTTCTACTGGCCTGCATCACTTCTGGCCTAGGACTCCCTCCAACACCCTGAAGTAAACAGACTGTCTGCATAAGATCAATGCAAAACAAGTTATGCACCCCTAACCCCTTACCAAGAGGAGAACCCCAAAATCATAATGAAGACATAACTAGTCGTGCAAATACAACTTTATCAGCCACCAGAGAAAGCGGCTCCTACACTGGGCCATACAGCAGTGAGCAAAAGCGTGCTTTGCTTTGCCAGCAGCCCAAACTGGAGCGATGAAGATGGACCAATGGAAGTATGACCGCTTCTGCTTATCGGTTATATTCCACCGTGAAGCCCTTTCCGAGACAGAGAATGATGGGGTGAACACAGACGCACACGCCAGCGCCAAAGTTCAGCTCAGTAGCGCGAGCAAAAGATCTTACAACTAAAAACTCCCGCATAGTGACGCACAAATACCAGCAACCACGCTGCCACGTGCCAAGCCAAGACAACCCCAACACACCGCGGAAAGCGGCCCGGCTCGACCCCCTACCTGTTCTCTGGATATGCACGGCAGCGAAGGCCGGCGAGGCATCTTCCAGGCTCCTCCGTAACAGGCGCTGGCCGCTTCTCCAAGCGCGGCGCAGCTCGACCTCCTCCGCGGCCGCACCACGGGCACTTTCTCGTCAGTTCCGGCGGCGCTCATGGCCTGCCGCGCCGGGTAGCGCCTCTCGAAGGCGAGCGCGAGCGCGGCGCCTCCCGTCCCCGCCAGCGCGGCGAGCGCGGGCCTGAGCGCGGGCGGCACACGGCCCAGCCCGCCGAGCGCCACGAGCCAGGCGGCGGCGGCCAGCGCGAGAGCCAGCACGCTGTGGCGGAGCCGGAGAGCTGCGGGTGCCAGCGTGAGCAAGCCGGCGCAGGCTAGCGCGAGGGGCAGCCGGCTCGCCGCCACCACCTGGGCTTCTTCCTCCGTATCCTCGTTCTCCACGAAACGCGCCAAGAGCCAGTCCCCGAGGTGGCAGGACGCGGGCAGAGCGAGCAGCCAGCCGCGGCCGCTCTCCCGCTCGGCCCGCCGCAGGTAGAGCGTGAGGAAGAAGTAGGCACAGCCGATGCTGAACAGCGGGCTCGCCGAGTGCCATGCGTCGGCCGCGAAAGCCCGCAGCGCCGTCGCCGCCGAGCTCCAGCGCGACGTTGACGACGAAGACGATGACGACGAAGCAGTCACCAGCAGCCACGCGGCGGCCAGAGCAGCCAGGGCTCCCCCAGCGCAGGCCGCCCAGGCCCGCAGCGGCTCCGAGGCGCCGCACAGGCGGCACGCGTGAGCCAACAGCCCGCGCTCGCCGTCTTGCCTCAGCGGCGTCACGCAGCCCTTCACGTAGCCGTTCCTCAGGCTCTCGGCGGCGGAGGCGGCGCCGTCGTGCTGCTGCTGCCTGCTCTTACCGCTGCGCTGGATGAGCTCGCCGTCCTCCCGCACTGCCATGCTTCGGCTCTTTTTCTCTCTCCTTTCTTTCTCCCTTCTTTTTTCTTCGGCTGTGTTTTAAAGTCTGCTCGCGTCGCCACCGACGGTCGTTGCACTCGACGGGCGAACGCGCTCCATGCTCGCTCAAACGGGCTCCAGCATTTTGGCTTACGAGGAGGAAAAGAAGGTGAAATGTTGTTGTTGTGGTTCTGGGGGCTTTTTTTTGTAAGCGCAAGGCGGAGCTCTACAGCACCGTCTAGAGGCCGAGGTGGGGAAAACAGGCCCGTCTTCAGCGGCTCTCCATCATTTCCATATCCAAGTGATTTCAGCGGACCTTAAATGGATCGTTTTTGACTTGTGTGTATTTACACTGCATCTCCAATGATCACTATAATTAATCTAATAATAGGTTTTATACTGCTGCATGGTTACACTTTTAAAGGGGAATTCCACCGATTTTTCAAAATTTCTGTACAGTTCAATCACTGTGGTGTAAACAACGCCATTCCTACGGAGCCTGATGATGACATCCTGTATAAATAAAATTAATGCATAGCCACGACTTAGTAAGGTGTGGGAATGACATGATTAAGTCGTGGCCATGACTTAGTAAGGCGTGGGAACGAGATTATAGGTAACTAAGTCGTGGCCACGCGTTAGGATCTCGTTGCCACGCTTTACTAAGTTGTGGCAAGGACTTAATCATCTCATTCCCACGCCTTACTAAGTCGTGGCCACGCATTATTTTTATTTTGACAGGATGTCATCAGCGGGGCTCCGTACCATTCAGAGTGGTTTGATGGGAAAGTTACTGACTCGTATATGTTCTTTGCAGTGGTGGTGACAGAGCCAGGGGTGGCAATGTCTCCAACGCAAACATACTACATACTACATACTACACTATTTACTACTATATGCAGTGTTAATCACAGTCAAATAGCGGTAAATATGATAAAATACTTTTCTTTGGCCACAACCTTCTCAAAACTATCCTAAACCAATGCCTCATATTCATAACCATTTCATTTGAGGTAGCTTTTGGAGGTATTAAATGCTTTGGACGTCCAGTTCGTATCACCACTGCTGTGAACAATTCTAACTGCAGAACAATGCATTTCACATCAAACCATTCTCAGAGACTCTGTTTACATCTTAACCATTTAATTATGCAGTGAGTTTGATTAATTATAAGTTTGATAAATCGATGGAGTTCCCCTTTAACACTGTCCGTCAGCCTCACAGTGTGCAGTTATACCTGTCTAATTTATTGTATTCTATTTTTTGCACCTATGCTGTCTTCTCTGTGTTATATTGTGATCCTATTTATTATAGTTTTTGTATTGTAGGTCTATTCATTGAGTCGCAGTAGTTTTCCACGTTTAATGTTTATGGAAGACTTGCAGTGCTATTTAAATTCATCTGAACACACATAACACTGTGAAAAGTGTTTGAAAAGCACTGAGGATTTTTCTGGGTTTTGTTTTAGGCCTATTTCTTGTATTATACTGCAGTGGCATAGGTAGGTAGGTATTAATTATGTTTTTAATTACGTTATTAATCCCAGAGGAAACTGCAGGGTTACAATGGCAATGAAAAGGACAGTGCATAACACAGATATTAAAGAGTAATTACACTTGAGAACCCATTAAACACTGACATACACCGATCCTTGTTTCTACACTCATTGTCCATTTTATCAGCTCCACTTACTATATAGGTGCACTTTGTAGTTCTACAGTTACAGACTGTAGTCCATCTGTTTCTCTGATACTTTATTCTTCAGTGGTCAGGACCCCCATGGACCCTCACAGAGCAGGTACTATTTGGGTGGTGGATCATTCTCAGCACTGCAGTGATACTGACGTGGTGGTGTGTGTTGTGCTGGTACGAGTGGATCAGACACAGCAGTGCTGCTGGAGTTTTTAAACACTGTGTCCACTCACTGTCCACTCTATTAGACACTCCTACCTTGTCAGTCCACCTTGTAGATGTAAAGTCAGAGACGATAGCTCATCTGCTGCTGCGCAGTTTGTGTTGGTCATCCTCTAGTTCTTCATCAGTGGTCACAGGACGCTGCCCACAGGACACTGTTGGCTGGATATTTTTGGTTGGTGGACTATTCTCAGCCCAGCAGTGACACTGAGGTGTTTACAAACTCCAGCAGCACTGCTGTGTCTGATTCACTCGTACCAGCGCAACACACACTAACACACCACCACCACGTCAGTGTTACTGCAGTGCTGAGAATGACCCGCCACCCAAATAGTACCTGCTCTGTGAGGGTCCATGGGGGTCCTGACCACTGAAGAACAGGGTAAAAGGGGGCTAACAAAGTATCAGAGAAACAGATGGACTACAGTCTGTAACTGTAGAACTACAAAGTGCACCTATATAGTAAGTGGAGCTGATAAAATGGACAATGAGCGTAGAAACAAGGAGGTGGTCATAATGTTATGCCTGATCGGTGTGTGTCCGCCATTGACTTTTGTGAACAGGTTTTTCTTATAATAGTTCGTCCATGCCAATCGTTTTTGTGCAGTAATGTTACACTGTAGAACGATACACCACCATTCCTGCGTCAGCTAAACCTTCCTTTGCTGTCAGACGGGGGTTTAACTTTGCCTTTCTGACCAGCGTATGAGCAGTTCTATCTAAGAGGTTTCTTCATCTTCCAGATCTTACCTTGACCTCCACAGTTTCCCTTACCTGCCATTTCTAAATGTTATCCTTGACTCGACTTCAGTTTTAACCTCACATTGAAAATGTAACTAAAGTCATTTGCCAAAGTGATGCTAAGAAGATCATCAAGCACAGGATTAACTTCTGTTCCTGGAGCAAGACCCAAAAGACGAGGTAAGGTGGCATTTAGCGTATGTGCTCCTGTAGTGTATTCGCTCCTAACTGGAACTCCCTCCCACAAGACACACAACGAGCATCCTCAGTGAGCAATTTTAAAAAGTAGCTTAAACCTTTTTACTTTAGCTTTTCCCTAGTTTTGGTCTCTAATTCATCCTATTGTGATTTCTAGTTGTATTTTTTTTCATTCTATTAATTTAATAAGTTATTTTATCATCTATTTTATTATTTAAGTGATTTTTTACTTATTTTTTTAGTTGTTCATTTATTTCTACCACTTTTACTCAATTTTTTACTTTTTTCAAATGTCTGCCTTCTCATAATTTATGTAAAGCACTTTGAGCTGCATTTCAATGTATGAAAGGTGCTGTATAAATATGTCCAGTTTATTATTATTATTATTATTAACATCATTATTATTATTGTTATATTATTTTGGACAGTGGAAAGCATGCACTTTAAAAGGTCAGGCATACAATTACAAAGGTGTCACAAAGGTGTCACAGTCATACACCGATCAGGCATTATGAGCACCTTGTTTCTACACTCATTGTCCATTTTATCAGCTCCACTTACTATATAGGTGCACTTTGTAGTTCTACAGTTACAGACTGTAGTCCATCTGTTTCTCTGATACTTTCTTAGCCCCCTTTTACCCTGTTCTTCAGTGGTCAGGACCCCCATGGACCCTCACAGAGCAGGTACTATTTGGGTGGTGGGTCATTCTCAGCACTGCAGTAACACTGACGTGGTGGTGGAGTGTTAGTGTGTGTTGTGCTGGTGCGAGTGGATCAAAGTTTTTAAACACCTCAGTGTCACTGCTGGACTGAGAATAGTCCACCAACCAAAAACATCCAGCCAACAGTGTCCTGTGGGCAGCGTCCTGTGACCACTGATGAAGGACTAGAGGATGACCAACACAAACTGTGCAGCAGCAGATGAGCTATCGTCTCTGACTTTACATCTACAAGGTGGACTGACAAGGTAGGAGTGTCTAATAGAGTGGACAGTGAGTGGACACAGTGTTTAAAAACTCCAGCAGCACTGCTATGTCCGATCCACTCGTACCAGCACAACACACTAACACACCACCACCATGTCAGTGTTACTGCAGTGCTGAGAATGATCCACTACCCAAATAGTACCTGCTCTGTGAGGGTCCATCTTTTTATACCTGTTTCCTGCTTTGCAGGCATCAATTATTTTCATGTTCAGATCGTCAGGCAGCTGTTTAGAGGAGCACATGGTTGTTGAGTGTTATCACAAGGTTTGAAGAGTCAGAGAATTTTACACTCCTGAGTTGTCGTCAGCAACAGTTTCTAATTAAAATTCTTCACTAGCTTCCCTAACAATTCTTACATAGTCCTAATGAGTCACTGAAGGCCTGATGAGTTCAATAAGTTCTGAAACTAAAAGTGCATAAACATTTGCACACAGCACAATTACTATTTTTATCATTGATAGTTGCTACACTATTTAGAATGAGTTTATTACATTTTCTTATTTTGCTGTAAACTAATATTGAAATGGGCTAAATATTAAGTGATTGTTATGTTATTTAACGTCTTCATTAATTTGCCTGATTTCTCTAAATGTATACGTTGTGTTGCTCCCGTCTCTTCCTGGTGCCTGACTCAAAACTCTCACAGGGTCAACTTAAACTATAAACGTATATTTATATATTTAAATACATTTCAACTGTGTCCACTCACTGTCCACTCTGACACTCCTACTTTGTCAGTCCACCTTGTAGATGTAAAGTCAGAGACGATAGCTCATCTGCTGCTGCACAGTTTGTGTTGGTCATCCTCTAGTCCTTCATCAGTGGTCACAGGACGCTGCCCACAGGACGCTGTTGGCTGGGTATTTGTGGTTGGTGGACTATTCTCAGTCCAGCAGCGACACTGAAGTGTTTAAAAACTCCAGCACCACTGCTGTGTCTGATCCACTCACACCAGCACAACATACACTAACACACCACCACCACGTCAGTGTCACTGCAGAGCTGAGAATGATCCACCACCCAAATAGTACCTGCTCTGTGAGGGTCCATGGGGGTCCTGACCACTGAAGAACAGGGTAAAAGGGGGCTAACAAAGTATCAGAGAAACAGATGGACTACAGTCTGTAACTGTAGAACTACAAAGTGCACCTATATAGTAAGTGGAGCTGATAAAATGGACAATGAGCGCAGAAACTTGTCAGATACGGTTTTATACGGCAAACAATGTTGCCCAGGTAATATGACTAGTCAAAAACGCTTTATGCACCCTAAGGGGGAAAAGTTAGGATGATTCTAGAGGCCCGTGACTAAAAGGGTTCCCTAAAAATTGTTAGAACATTAAGTCGGTTTCAATATTAAATCCTTAACCTATAGTCATTAATGAATATTTACAATATACAACCCCAATTCCAAAAAAGCTGGGACGCTGTGTAAAATGTAAATAAATGTAAATAATAACAGAATGCAATGATTCACAAATCTCATAGACCCATATTTTATTCACAATAGAGCATAGAACACGTATCAGTTGTGGAAAATGGTCCTGCCCCCTAACTGGAAGCAAACAGAACTTAATACCAGTGAATTGCAAGTAAGGAAAGCCGAGAATCATGTCTTATCTTCCTAAAGAAAATCTGGCTTATAGTACAGTTTACAGATCCGTTGGTACAGTTTTGCTAAACGAGAGGATGGGTCACAAATCTGTAGGCACAGTTTATAAACTGCCAGTACGGATTACTAAACTGCGGGGCAGATTTTCCTCCTTTTCTCGTTAGTGACCCCTACTGGGCTCTGTAGAAAACTGAGCATTGGAACAGAGCATGTTTTATAGTATAAGTTGTTCACGTACTTGAATTCATCTTTGTTAACATATAAAGTATAAAACGACCTATTAATTAAAGAATTCGTCCATATATTTTATTATATTTAGAAGTATTTGTATGTATGTGTAGTTTATCGTAAGAACATCTCTGTTTCCATGAAGAAAAGAAAAAGCAACAAACTCCATAAACCAGCTCCATTTCCTCTCACCAGCTCCCTCACTAGTTTGGCGCCGCTCTGGTGGTGTCACCACGCAGCCTCGTTAGGACTGATTCATTTGTGTGACCAACAGGCTACTAAGGAGTCTTCATAGGACCGTCCTACCGAGGACCCTCACTACCTTGGATGCAGCCTGGACTTTGGAACGCAGTTCTAGTTTTCTTTCCACCAAAAAACAGATGGATACCCTGCTACGGTAAAACCACAGTTAATTTTTCATAATTTAGAAAGCTAACTTATTTTCCCTCTTGTAATTACAAAGCTACGCTACTCGATTTGACACATTATTCAGTTCCTGTCACACCACTTCTGCCAGTAGGAGTTGGATCTCTGTGTGCCGGGTGACAGACGGAAGTGGCTGCCCTTGTGGCAGCATGAAGTGGCCACTTCGCGGCCACTTTTATTAGCGACCGCCACATTGCGGCCACGTCGCAGCCACTTTTATTAGCGACAGCCACATTGCGGCCACATCGCAGCCACTTTTATTAGCGACAGCCACATTGCGGCCACATCGCAGCCACTTTTATTAGCGACCACCTCTGTGCTGCCACTTCACTGCCACATCGCGGCCACTTCACAGCCACAACGCCACCACTTTTATTAGCGACCGTCACTTCACCGCTGCTCTGTCACTTCTAAATTTACATTTACATTTCAAATAAATTGCAATCCACGCCAAAATACATTCCAAACACAAAAATGCATTTCAGAATATTTTGCCATGTTAATAATATTAGAAAATATATTTTGAAATGCACTTAAAATATATTACGTTAAAATTTATGGGGAAATATTACACATAGAAATGTATTATAGAAAAGTAAATGTATGTAAATGTATTTATGAAGTACATTTGAAAATGTATGAAAATTGCCAAAGTACGTCGTCCAGTGCACTTTACTGTTTGGAAACCCTTTGAAGTGAATTTGTATGTCTTGAAATGAATTTACTCCGGTATCTTAATTGTAAATGTTGGTAAATGGACCTTTAACAGGACAAAAGCAAGTGTTGCAGATATTGATACACTGTAGTTTGACGATTTGATATCGTGTTTATTTGGCAAATACTTTGTGTGACTTTCTTACAAGGTACAATGCAAAACACAGAAGTCAGTACCGTTCATTCAGTTCATTTATGCTTAGTTACATCTTTAACCTTTATTAAAATTTCATACAATTGAAAAATATAATAACAAATACAAATAAATGTGTTTTAAATATAAATGTAAGAAATACATTTTTGGCCATTTGCATATATTGCAATAAATATTTTATAAATTTATTTGAAATATATATATACGTTATGTATATACTCTATTTAAGGATGCTGAACTAGACTACATTTTTAATTAAACTTGACAGGCAAAGATAATTAAACACTGTATTGATATTCTATTTTGTAGGTTTATTGCAAATCAATGGGTATTTTATATTTAAATAACAATAAAGGACAAACTTTAAATGTGTATGGAAATAATTGGGAAAGCAGTTCAATTTTATTGTAGAAATTACAACATTAAATATTTAATTATGTAATGAACATTTCATCTTCTAGATGTTTGCGGTCCCTGTCTTATAAATTAAGAGTCCACGTTTTTTGCATTTACTTTCGTACTTTCTTTCTTCTTTTGCTGTAATTGTTTTGGTAATGCTTTATGAGCATTAATTACTATGTTTATTAACATTAATAAACCATGACCATCAGCATTATTAGGACATAAATAATGTTTACAAAGTAATTAACACTTGTATTAAAGTATGTTTGTTAGTGTCAATTAAATAAAGAATACTTGAATTATATAATGTTTCTTCTATCTATGACTATTTTTAACTTTTTTTTTATTTTTTACTTTTTTTCTTGTTTATGTCTTTGGATTTATTCATTTGGCAATAACACAACACAATTGTATATAGTTAATATTTACTATTTCATTTAATATTTAATGTTTAAGAACTAAAAAGCAAATTCAACATTTCTTTACCGTGTCTTTTTACAGGTATCCTGTATTTTTTTATGCCTTTAAATATCTCACTTCATTCTCAGTCTCAGCCTTTTGAGAATGGGGCTTCTGACTTTGGTCCACCCAACACCAGTTTACCGACCTTCTCAGGTGGCAGAGCTGTTCTGTGAAAAAAGCAGAAGCTCTTCAAAAAATAAAACTAATATAGAGCTGAATAATCTCACTGATGAGTCAAATAAAACGATGGAAAAAGAAAAAATAATCAGAAAACATTTTTAAAATCCTCACATCAACCAAACAACCATTACATTGCTAAATATTCTCTGAACAATCCAGAATAACAGGCTAACATAACTACACAGTGTTTTAGTGGGGCTTTATGAACTCATGTGTGATGTGAGTTTTTTACTCAGACATCTATTTACTTCATAATAAACTTACAGCCTGCAAGGCTTGTAGGATGCAACCTATTAAGGAATATAGCGGTTCCAGTAATTCCTGTGAAAGTGGCCGCGATGTGGCGGCAATGTGGCGGCCATGTGGAGGCAATGTGGCGGCCGCTAATAAAAGTTCGGCCACGCAAGCTGATTGGTTGAGCAGTGTTCTAGCTGTGCTGTTATTTCACCAAAACATCACGGGTTTCTCACAAAGACTGTATCACTCCGCTGAGACGCCGTTGCTAAGCAACGACTTTGACAGCTGCAGGAGACGCTCAAGACATTTCAAACATTTTTACTTCTTACTTTGCCACAAACAGAAAATGGACACTTTTAAGATCACATTTGACCGACAGCCGATTTGGTCAGACTCTGAAGATGAGACGACACTAAATTCCCAAACGGTCAGTTGGTCTGAGTGGAGCTGGAGAACGAACTGCCGGCTGTGCAGCGAGTGGGCGGAGCTCGTTACTCTGACGGAGCAACAAGCTGCTCGTTAAGGAACTATAATTTGGTGAAGGAACTGCGAACATTAAAACATATTAAACGCTGCGTTCACGGCCCAGTTTATTAATTTATTACTGTATTTATTTAACTGTTGTATTAAAGCAATAGAACACTCGAGGAGTGTGTTATCGCCAATAACATCACGGCTGTGATGATCTACGGCGACCAAATCACAGCCGGGATGTTATTTCGCGACAACACACTCCCTCTGTGTTCTACTGCTTAATTAATGCACTATTTGGATGATGAAACAGTATTTCAGGGCCTGTGTAACGAGTGCACTCCCCTCGCCCCACCACTGTGTCTCGGTAGCTAGCCAGCTGACTTTCCCGTTCCACCTTAAATAGTCCAGCAGTTAATGGAGCAACTGCTGCTCCATTTAAGGTGGAACGGGAAAATTCGAACAAGAATCTGGTGACTTCAGCTTCATATCACTGAAGAATTAGGGGTGGGTGATAATAAATAATTGCCCCCCTCTTTGAAGATCATATGATGCCCTAAATGTAACTAAAGCCCAGCAGTGAGGAGCTGAACTTTACCCTCCTCTGCTGTCACTGCAGACTGGCAGGGTCGCCTACAGAGCAGCGCTGGTAGCTGTTAATGAAGTGATGCTCTTTTTATTTGAGGGTCCCGTTTCAGAGGGAAGATTCCAACCACTACTAGGGTGACACTCGAAAACAAGGGGTAGGGTGAAAAGAAGGAATGGGACTGGGCCTCAGCCCCAGGTCTTCTCTCCATCTGTCTCTCTCGTTCGCGAAACGCGCGTATGTCCCTCCTCGCTGCCTGTAGTATTGATGTGGCCGAGTTGAGGAGCTTCCACGTCATTCGGATCCTGAACCTCATCGGACTCAGGAGAACGGAGGAGAACGGAGGAAAACAAGCTCGCCGTAAAGGTAGGGAAGAACCTGCCGCCGCACCAGCCACTGGTTTTAGCGCATGAGCTGACCGTGTTCTTATTGTGTCAGTAGGCGCTTCGCCCGTCGCCGTGTCGGTGTAGTTAAGCCTCGGTTATCCACGTAGGCAGCCAGCGGGCTAGGCTAATGCTAACGAGCTACGTTGGCAGTAAATGTCGAAAGCTCAGTCTAAACTTCAAACGACAGAACATCAAACCGCTGCATTTCGGAACTAACAGCTTTAAAAAGCCAGCTGTTGTGTATTGAGGCTGTTTACTGTTTATATTTCTCTAATTCGTTGAATCAGTGTTGATGGGTTGTGCAGCTAACTGCTGCTAGCTAGGTTAGCTCTGTCAGTGACTGGCCGTCCAACCCGCCTAGATAACTAAAACAGCGGATCACCCAAACTAACCTCTCCCAGTTTAGTGTGGACGAAGCACACAGACCAGGTACTGGAGTTAAAGTAGAGACACCCAAGGTACAATATTACTCCAGTAAAAGTAGAAGTTCCTCCCTTCAGACCTCCACTTGAGTAAAAGTACTAAAGTATTTCCTTCAAATGTACTTAAGTATCAAAAGTAGAAGTACTAAAAGATTAATTATGGCTCTGATGTCCTATTATCATTTTTATAACAAGACTCGCTTCATTAACTCATTTTAGGTGAAAATACTCCAGTGTCTCTCTTGGTAAACCAGTCTTTTAATAGAGTCATTAATTAGTGACGCTGATGTCTATTAAAATGATCAAAAGCACAAAACACTGAAGGCGAACAGTTTCCATCAGGTAGAACTGAGTGGCTCTGAAATCACTTTTTACAAACAAGCAAAGTTCCAGTTTAAGATTTATTTGCAAGTTTAAGTTTAATAAAAAACTTTAAACTCAGATTCACAAATGAGTTTCCTTTACTAAACTGCATCTGTAGGTCTCTGTTCATAAACATAAACTAGCCAAAACTAATTTACTATAAAATGAAATGTGTTTGTATAAATTCAGATAAAGACACGTCAGTCACAACTGCATATGAGTACATATTTCTATATTGTGGTCTGTTTACACAAAGTTAGGTTAGTTCATCATTTATGTTGAATAGACTCTCCCAAAATTTTACACTGCTGCACTGATGTTGAACCGTATTAATTAATTAGTCTGACGCTGATGGCTATTAAAATTATCAAAAGCATGATGGTTGGTGTTTTTTCCTTCGCGCTTCTTTCGTTTTGACATCTTATGTTTTTATGCACACATAAACAAAAAGGAACGACAGGTTTCTCATAATGTAGCGTAGTAAAAAGTGAGATATCTGACTTTGAAATGTAGTGGAGTGAAATGAAAAAGTCGCCCAAAATGGAAAAACTTCAGTAAAGTACAGATAAACGAAAAAACTACTTAAGTACAGTAACGAATTACATTTACTTCATTACTGTCCACCACTGGTAACTGAATAACTTAGTTTTGACTAACATTAAGTAACAGTTCTAACGAGCTTGATGATACACGACTGCATTGAGATCTAAATTGCAGTGTAGCTGGTTAAATGAAGGAGAGATTCATTTACATGCATTAAACTCCTTTGCTTAGCCAGCGTGTTTTGTGAACTGTCTTGTATTCATTTTTCAGAAAATCACATCCATAATCACTGCCTGGTGTCTCTGGTAGGGACGAGGATCTGTCTGGCACCATGACAGCTGCGGAGAATGTGTGTTATACCCTGATCAATGTACCTAATGACTCGGAACCCCCGTCGGAAGTCAGCCTTAAAGCTGATCTAGGTAATCAACTGCCCTGTGATCCAGTTTTCATAGTATGCCAATTTTTTGCGTGTAGTTTCCACACAGGATCGCTGATGAGTTTAAGTGGTCAATTGCTTTTTGTTCTGTTGCACAAACAGAAAAGGGGGAGATAAAAGCCAAGACTGAAGCTTTGAAGAAGGTGATCATCATGATCCTGAATGGTGAAAAGCTGCCAGGCCTTTTGATGACCATTATCCGGTTTGTGCTCCCGCTTCAAGACCACACTATCAAAAAGTTGCTGCTGGTCTTTTGGGAGATTGTGCCCAAAACAACTCCTGATGGCAAACTGCTGCAGGAGATGATCCTGGTCTGTGACGCCTACAGAAAGGTAACTGTCAGTCATAACGTTGCAACTCGCGCTAAAACGTTTAAGCCTCTATTGCATGAATTATTACTTAAACATGATCAAAAATGTTTTAATGTGTTTTGGTTATTTAAAATTGCTTAAATAATAGTAATATTTGAAAAAAATATTTATTTCTAAAAATTAAGTGGGATATTTGGTAAATTGTTGCCATAAAAAGCATCATAAAATCTTATTTTTCTCTAAAAACATACTTTTATTGAAAACAAGACCAAACAAATCCAACTTATACTTGGTGATGTACGACCCAATATTTGCACATACTGGAAACACAATTTCAATTGGTATTTTGAATGTATGGTAATAACAACATAATAATAAGAATTCCTGGTCATGTAATATCATAAGTTATTTGTCCTTTTAAAGTAAAAGACCCTTTTCCCACAATTAAATAGGAAAACACAGATTTTATATTACTGCTTTTTAGTAATATTGAGAGAAAGTAATTGTTGCCATGTGGCCACACTGTGCAATAGAGTGTTAAGAGGCTGATATTTTAGTAGCAATAGAAGCTCTGAAGATACTGATTTGTTTGGTCCAGGACTTGCAGCATCCCAATGAGTTCATCCGGGGATCCACACTGCGCTTCCTGTGCAAGTTGAAGGAGTCAGAGCTTCTGGAGCCACTGATGCCGGCCATCCGCGCCTGCCTGGAGCACCGCCACAGCTACGTGCGCCGCAACGCAGTTCTCGCCATCTACACCATCTACAGGTTAGTGGGATATGTTTGAGTTTGAGTCATAGTTGCAGCACAAGACACTCTCGCGAGTGGATCAGACACAGCAGTGCTGCTGGAGTTTTTAAACACTGTGTCCACTCACTGTCCACTCTATTAGACACTCCTACCTTGTCAGTCCACCTTGTAGATGTAAAGTCAGAGACGATAGCTCATCTGCTGCTGCACAGTTTGTGTTGGTCATCCTCTAGTCCTTCATCAGTGGTCACAGGACGCTGCCCACAGGACGCTGTTGGCTGGATATTTTTGTTTGGTGGACTGTTCTCAGTCCAGCAGCGACACTGAGGTGTTTAAAATCTCCAGCGGCACTGCTGTGTCTGATCCACTCAGACCAGCGCAGCACACACTAACACACCACCACCACGTCAGTGTTACTGCTGAGAATGATCCACCACCCAAATAGTACCTGCTCTGTGGGGGTCCATGGGGGTCCTGACCACTGAAGAACAGGGTAAAAGGGGGCTAACAAAGTATCAGAGAAACAGATGGACTACAGTCTGTAACTGTAGAACTACAAAGTGCACCTATATAGTTAGTGGAGCTGATAAAATGGACAATGAGGTGGGCATAATGTTATGCATGATCGGTGTACATATGTATGTATATATGTATGTGTGTGTCTGCATGTTTCAAAGAGCCCATATCCTGTTTTTTTCTTTCTCTCAAGCTCCATTTATGTTTGTTTGCTTTTATGTACCGAAAACCCATAATTATTTTATAATTAAAATAATTTTATTTTTACAGTTAATCATAATTCATTTTTACTAGGCAATTTTTCAATCTCCCCTTATCACTTAAAGTTAAGCAATCTGTGTTTTGTCACTGTGCCTTTCAGACTGATATATGTAAGTGAGCTTTGTTCTGATTGGCTGCCCTGTATTGTGTCTCATTCAAAAATAAATCTGGCCCAAAACACTGAAGCTTGAATGGACGGGGCTAAATTATTGTAGGTTGAATCGGCAGATAAAGGTAAATGTCTCATCAGAAAAATAGTGAGTCCAGGCTGTTTTTGAAGCTTGGTTTTCATATGTGGACCAAGGAGTCAATGGCTTGGTTTGGAATTTTAAGTGTTTATGTGCCACATCAAACTCTTCCGTTTTGGAAAAGGTAGTTTTTTATGATTGTGAAATGAACCCTGTAATGTTAGTGCTTTCACTGTTGATTTGATCTGCATTGTTGATTTTCATCTGCCATTTGGCTTAATAGTCAGCAGCATTGATCTAAGCATTTGTCGTGTATTTGCTGCTGTTCGTCTTGTTTCATGCCATGTATTTTGTTTTCTTCCCAATTTTGTACAGGAACTTTGAGAATTTGATCCCAGATGCTCCGGAGTTGATCCATGATTTTCTTGTAAATGAAAAAGATGCAAGCTGCAAGAGAAATGCTTTTATGATGCTGATCCATGCTGACCAGGTACAGAACGTTGCACAGAGAGTAACGACACTCAGTAGTTACAGTTTTGAGTGCAGAATTAAAATCATTGGACTAAAACAACGCCTTTCTGTCCATTTACAGGACAGAGCTCTTGATTATCTAAGCACTTGTATCGATCAAGTGCACACTTTTGGAGACATTCTACAGCTTGTTATTGTTGAACTCATCTATAAGGTAAGATCCTTTAATCATACATAAACTTACAGGCCCAGTTTACACTTATCAATAATGCATTCAGTGTCTGGTTGCTGTTCTTAAATCTACGGATTTAGGAGACAAAGGCTACATTTACACAGCAGGTAAAAGTGGCCCAAATCAGATTTTCTTCACCAATTTTTTTTGTTTGGCTGTTCACGTTATCTTTTAAATGTGATCTGTATGCAACATCAGTCTGAACTGAGCTCTAAACTGAGCCACATGTGTAAAAGACCAGAGCTTCACGCTTCTTCACGCGGCTCTTCCAGAGATAAACAATCATGACCGTACAGAAACATCAGCCTAAATGTTGAAGGTCTCAGCAGCGTGAAATTATAGTAAATAATAGAGTTAAATTGACGTGAAAGTCGCATGAATTCCGATCTGGCTGTTCAGACTGAGTCGCATTGCTGCAGATCGGATACGTATCGGATTTCAGTACCACCTGTGAAAGTGCCTCAAATCTGAATTGAAAATATCAGATTTAATGTGTTTTTTGCTGTTCACACTGACACACAGACACACATCTGTGTCACCATATGAGGAAAAAGATCAGATTTGGGCCACTTTTACCTGCTGTGTGAACAAAGCCAAAGATACTCACACACTGTCATCAAATCTGTATACATCACTAAATCAGAGACCAGCGTTTGTTTATTTTATTTCCAATCAAAATGATCATTAAATACAAATGACTCATTTTTCAGGATATATTTCTGAGGAGGTTTGATGTAAGATAATATATAAGAAAGTTTGAGTAATTTTATTACATCATTAAAAGATATAGAGACCTCTAACAACCATGCAAGTCTTGGGAGACCATCAAAATCCTCACCATCAGATTAACAGTACTTAAAGCTTTCATATTTAAAAGATGGTACAATATCAGCTCTTGCTTCAGATTTTAGAAAGTCAACAGGTGTTTCTGTCCATCCTTTCACTGAGTTAAATCAACTTTTAAGCGCCAATGTTAACTTCATTGAATCCGTGTTCTAATCTAATGTTGATTCTCAATCACTTCTGCACCTTGAATTAATATCGAAACAACACTGAAAGTTAAAAAAAAAAACAACAGTACATGAAGGCTCTCTTAATCGTTTTTCAACCCCTAGAAGGTTAAAGTCGTCCTGCTTTTTCTACAGTGAGCGAAAAAGCGAAACTGGCCTAAAATAAGCAACAAAACTCTGTTACTTTCTTTATTCGGATTTATTGAGCAACAAGATAACAGATAAATGCTTTAACATTATTATTGCTTTTCAACAGTGCAAAGTTAGTCACATACTTTGTTATGCTTTATTATAGTTCACAAACAGCAGATGGCTGGTGTTCTTCAAGAGATCTTTTTTTTTTTTTCCCCCCAGTGCTTAAAAAAATAAAAGTAAGAGATGAAACTTTGTTTTTGACCAGTTTTCTTCTCTCTCTGTTATTTCAAAAGCATACAGTCACATTTCTCAGCTCATGACCATTAAAGTTCAGTTCACTAGTTGGCATACCTAGCATGAGCCGCTGTGTGCAGAGATTTTGCCATCATAATGTAACGGAAAATCAGGAGATGTTTTAAAAGCATTAACATTCGGTTTTAAGACGGTGTGGTACATCTCTCGGACATCAGACTTTTTTAAAATAGTCAGAAATTAAAATATTTGCTCACCTCTTACAGACACAGCAGGGAGCTGTGAGGAGGACTTGAGGCGCAGGGCGCGCAAGAGAGTTTGCGCTGGCGTGTCCGGCACGTGATCTGGCAGCCTACTATAAGTCAACTTTGACATTGTTCCCACCTCTGTCATTAAGCTAGCTATTTTTAGGCTTACGCACATTATTGTAAATGTTGCTAATGCTCATAAAGCATTTACCGTCAGCGGAGGACGGTGCACAGTTCTCATGTCTGTGTTGTGGCTGCTAAGCACGCATACATAACACACTGTAACCTAAATACCTGGATCGCTGTGCACTGCGATTGCAAGGTGTTTTATAAAGCTTTAACACAGCTGTAAAGGCTCTGCATACTATAATCTGGTGCCACACCAGCCTGATTTAAACATTTAAATATTGCATGTGGAAAGGCGATGTTAATGACAATTATACAATAGTCAGTTCCGGCCACGCGAGCTGATTGGTTGAGAAGTGTTCTAACTGTGCCGTTATTTCACCATAACATCACGTTTTTTTTCACCAACACTGTATCACTCCGCTGTCACTGAGATGCTGTTGCTAAGCAACGACTTTGCCCACTGTAGGAGACGCTCAAGACATTTGAACGTTTTTACTTCTTACTTTGCCACAAACAGAAAATGGAGACTTAAGATCACATTTGACCGACTGCGAACATTAAAACATATTAAACCTGTGTTTTTTAGGTTTTTGGGGCATATTGTCAGGTATTATGTTGTAAGTGTAATGTCATATTATCTTGCGCTCCAAATGTGTAGGTGTGTCATGCAAACCCCTCAGAGAGAGCACGCTTCATCCGGTGCATCTACAACTTGCTCCAGTCCTCCAGCCCAGCTGTAAAATATGAGGCGGCAGGCACGCTGGTCACCCTTTCCAGCGCACCCACTGCCATTAAGGTGCTGCATGTTATTCCCCGTCGTATCCAGTGAACGTTAATTAAATTCACTGACATTTGAATAGTCTTAATTAAACAGTCCTTTTATATATGTGTTCTCAGGCTGCTGCTCAGTGTTACATCGATCTGATCATTAAAGAGAGCGATAACAATGTCAAGCTCATTGTCCTGGACAGGCTAATCGAGCTGAAGGAACACCCCACCCATGAACGCGTTCTGCAGGTTCGTATAGACCCCATATTGGAATGTGTATTAGGAACAGGGCACAGGAAACAGAGAGATGGCTGACTGCTCTGTTTTGATCTCAGGATCTGGTAATGGACATCCTGAGAGTTCTGACCACCCCTGATCTGGAAGTCCGCAAGAAGACTCTGCAGCTGGCCCTGGACCTGGTGTCGTCTCGGAATGTAGAGGAGGTTAGTTGATCGTGTTTTATGTTGCTGAGGTTACGTTCCCCACTTTTAGTGTCACAGCAGGGTTTTTCCAAGTCAGTGAAAGGTGTGGCTGTCAGTAGAGCTCTAAATATTCCATGTCCTTCAGTGTCGTCAAAGCAAATTGAAAATTAACTGAAATACTGCTCATCATCAGTAATTGTGCTCTTATACTTTGTTTTGGCAGTTGGTTATAGTGCTCAAGAAGGAGGTGATCAAGACCAATAACGTGACAGAGCACGAGGACACAGACAAATACAGACAGCTGCTGGTGCGCACTCTCCACTCCTGCAGTGTGCGCTTCCCTGATATGGCTGCCAACGTCATCCCAGTGGTGAGTTTGCATTCAGTCCTTCTGAAGCAAGCAAGGTTCCATCAGTGCCAACCAGTGTACACAAACCATATACTTGAGTTAAAGTAGAGACACCCAAGGTACAATATTACTCCAGTAAAAGTAGAAGTTCCTCCCTTTAGACCTCCACTTGAGTAAAAGTACAAAAGTATTTGCCTTCAAATGTACTTAAGTATCAAAAGTGAATGTACTAAAAGATTAATTATGGCTCTGATGTCCTATTATCATTTTTCTAACAAGGCTTTTGCTTTATCAACTCATTTTAAGTGAAAATATTCTAGTGTCACTCTTGTAACACCAGTCTTTTAATAGGATGTCATTAATTAGTGACGCTGATGTCTATTAAAATTATCATCAGCACAAAACACTGAAGGCAAACAGTTTCCATCAGGTAGAACTGAGTGGCTCTGAAATAACCTTTTGTGAACAAGCAAAGTTAAAGATTTATTTGCAACTTAGTTACAAGTTTAAGTTTAATAAAAAGTTTAACGCTGCTGCACTGACATTCAACCGTATGCTTGCGCTGGGTCGGTATGTCCAACAGGTCAAAACAAGCTCAAAACTAAGTGACCGCTGTGCCCTGATTGGTGTTTTTGCTTCGCGCTTCTTTCGTTTTGACATGTTATGTTTTTCTACACACAAAAACCAAAAGGAAGGACAGATTTCTCATAATGTAGCGGAGTAAAAAGTGAGATATTTGACTTTGAAATGTGGTGGAGTGAAAGAAAAAAGCCCCCCAAAATGGAAAAACTTCAGTAAAGTACAGACACACGAAAAAACGACTTAAGTACAGTAATGAATTACATTTACTTCGTTACTGTCCACCACTGATGCCAGCATTGTTCCATGTGATGAAACACATTTTTTTTTGTAATATGCATCTCTACAAGAAATGTAACGGGACCCTTTGTGGCATTATAGGGGTGTGATGTATGGTACATCTCTGGTGAGCTGTAAATGTCTTGTGTTACTGCATGTAGTTAAAATTATACCATTTACACCAATTTATACCAATTAACTATAACATTCTCAGGTTTCAGCTGGTTAGATTACAATTTAAACTGGGCTTTCAAACAAGAAATGGAGAACAGACCTTACCAATAACATCAGGAGGTCAGAGGAGCTTTGCCAGTGGCTATCATGGCAAATAGTGTAAGGGGTTACAGCCATTCGCAGGACTAATGCAATTTTTTGGTTAACTGTCTATTTATTTGCAGTGGTGGTGATAGGACCCAGTGTGAAGGAGCTTTTAGAGATATTAAACTCACGTCTGTGAACATTATGGCTCTGTATGTTTATCTAGAGTGGAGCATTTTGCATCAAAACACCCTTAATGGCATTGTTTACATCTTAACCCTTTAATTATGGAGAAATTTTGAAACATCAGTGGAATCCCTCTTTAAGCAAGCAGTGTCGGGTGGTCAGTATGATAATACCTCACAATACTTTTTCCCAAGCGTATTGTGGATAACCAGTACTTCAAGAACACTGACCACCTGCATATTTTAATACAGAGAGCATAGTTATTCCGGTATGGTTAGATTGACAGCAGTGTAGAATGTCATTTGTTAAATCGAAAATCATTGTAATCATATTTTTTATAGAATTTCTTTTTGAAATGCACCACTGCTCGTTCTTTTTATGTATGCAAATGTATCAAATCTCAGAAAAACTTAATATTTTAATACATATTGTGTATTTTCTCCATATGGCCCAACAAATAACATTTTTTTTATTGCAGTCGAATTTCTGGGCCTAAATATTAGACTCTTACTCCAGGTAATGATTCCCGTTGATATGGATTGTGGGCAGCAGTGGATCGTGAATTATGTTTGTTTTTGACCTCAGCTGATGGAGTTCCTGAGTGACACGAATGAAGCCGCTGCAGCTGATGTGTTGGAGTTTGTGCGGGAGGCCATCCAGAGGTTTGACAACCTCAGGCCTCTCATTATTGAGAAAATGCTGGAGGTTTTCCATGCCATCAAAACTGTCAAGTAAGTCTTGCTGTAGTGTACGAACGTTATTGCTCTGTTTTCCGTCAGGAGAACGTAATGCTGTGGTTTTATTTCTAAGAGGTGCCGTGTTTCACACAGTTGTTAAAGATTCTAAATCCTAACCCGTTTGTTCAGATCTGCTTATTGTTACCAAATGTTCTACTGGATTTGCATTTGTTGTTAAGAACATGGTCTGTTCCTGGTTTAGAATCTACAGAGGAGCTTTGTGGATCCTGGGAGAGTACTGCAGCACCAAAGAGGACATCCAGAGCGTCATGACAGAAGTGCGCAGGTCACTCGGAGAGGTATGCCGTTTCTTGTAAAGATTTATAAAAGAAGATTATGAAGCTTGAAATCCCTCCCAATAAGTTTTCCAATTATTCTGCCATGTTATGTCTAAATGTTTTGCCCATAATTAGTTTTTTAATTAGGGCTGGTGGTGTCTATTCAGCACACAATAGCACAGTATTCATACCAGGAGGGGCAGTAAAAATTGATGTGTTAGCTGCCCCTACCCGGTCTCTAAAATTTCCTTATTTTGACTAAAATATTTAAAGGACCCACAGTCGACATTTTTCTAGTATTTTTTTCCTTTTTACCTGAGGTAGACTTACAGTCTTCTGTGGGTTCATGTAACAAAACAGTAATTATTCATGTTTGCTTGCCCATTTCCAGCCTTTCCTTATGACTTAAATAAACAGGCTGTTTTTGTTACTGCGCCTTTAAGACTGATACATAACAAACTGATTTGCAATATGGTTCTGATTGGCTGGCCTGCACTGTGCATTAATGCAGTCTGGGCTGAATTCAAAACAGGTTCTTTATAGCTTAGTTTCCAGTTGGACTGTGTGAACTGAGGAGTGAACAGCACATTTTAAACTTAGTTTTTTGGATTTATTTTTAATTTTTTTTGTTTGGCTGGTTGGGCTGTAGTTGAATGTCCTCTAAAGCCAGACGTACATTGTGTAAATTTAGAAGTATTGTTCTTTGATGACTCACACTGCACGTTTGAATAGACCATCATGACAGACAATGCCTACAATTTATATATTCACACTACAAAAGTGCTCGGTCCAGTGCTACGTGAGACGCAGCCTCTACAGACAGATCAAAAAATGAACAATTTCAAATAAACCTGTTTCATTCAGAATAACAAGCTTTGCACTGAGTACTGAGCAGCACTTCTAACACTGTGCAGTGAAGGTAGAAGCCAGGTGGTGATGTACGTATGTCTGTAGCCTATTTTCCAAAAGAATCACTGAATTATCATTTATACCTCATAATTCTGTTCAGTCAAACAGAGTAAAGTCAGCTTAAAAACAAGCTAAAAGAAAGATAGTACATTTTATATTAAAGAAAAGTGGGAGAAGGAGGGGAAAATATCACGGTCAGAGGATAGTTTGGAAAAAATATATCAGTTAAGCCCCCTCAGTTGTTTGACATGTTTGACGTTGTTCATGAAATTTATATTATGGAAAAGCTAACTAGATTCTTAAGGAAAAAGATTGGCAAATTCTGTCGGATTTGGTCTGAGTGGCTAGTATATTGTCGCTGTCCAACGAAAGACAAGTGTTTTCAAAATATTAACTTTACAGGAGAGGGCAAAAACACTCGTACTTTTTAATGTACGTCAATGTAAAGAGATTTTGTTCCAAGTGATTTTAAAGCATTTCTATTGGTCCATTCATCATGAATTTTTATACACAATGTAAAGGACAGACGGTGTGTTGAAATGATGTAGAAAACTAAAAATCAATGGAGATACATGGTTTTCATTGGACAGCGACGATATATAAGACCCTGGCAACCAGAACTCATGTAGGTTTTTATGGCCTACCTTTTTATGTCCTCTCCTCTGAATTAAAGATTACACTTCCAGTTTTGTAGTGTAAATAGTTTTTTAAGGAGCTAATTTGAAGGGAAAGTCAGAAATTGTAAGAACGTCAAGTAAATTGTTTTTAGTTGGTAACCTTTTTTATGTATATATATTTTTTTCTTTTCCGCTTTTTTTATAATGATTATTGCTATGGATGGTATTATCAAAATATGTTTATCATAAGAAAAGCATAGATTAGAAAAATAGGATTGTGTGTATGCATTTATGTTTATATGGGTATATAAAAGCAAACAAGCATTCAAAGTAAAGCAGCTGAATAGGCCCATAATGGAACTGTCCTTAGTCATAATTGTAGTGCTAATTGAAGTACTGTTACAATTGTTTGATATAATTTTTTATTTTCTTCTATGCTCTTTTCAAAAGGCTTCCCCAATAAAAATAAAATAAAAAAAATAAAATAAATAAAAACAAGCTAAAATCACACAGTGACCAGTGACTTTGTGTCCCTCTGTCATAGAGTCAGTAACACAGCAGAGCGTCCTTCACTGCCATCTTGAGTTGTTTGTTCATTAGTGCAGCCGCGTACACTCGGCTTACGGCACGTGGTATCAGCGGAAATTTCAGTATGAGTAAATGAGCATGGTAGCAGACCGATAACCGATAGTATTGATGCATCCCTGGAGTCAAATGTAGGTGTTTCATATTGGTGGCTGCTATATTTCTCATACTACTATGAGCAATGAATGAGTTTAGTATGGTTTTTATGTATCTAGATCCCCATAGTGGAGAACGAAATCAAGAAGGAGGCTGGAGAGGTGAAGCCAGAAGAAGAGGTGAGTGCAGCACCAGCCCAGAAGTTGGTCACCGAGATGGGTACCTACGTCACTCAGAGCGCCCTCAGCTCCTCCCGACCCTCCAAGAAAGAAGAGGACAGGTACAGCTTCCACAGTGCTACTTCTCTTTTTAACCATGACTGAGATTTAATTGTTAAAGTTCAAGTTTGTCCTTTGTTGTTATTTGACCATTCCTTTCTTTGTCCTGCAGGCCTCCGTTGAGGGGCTTTCTCATGGATGGAGACTTCTATGTTGCAGCATCTCTTGCTACCACGCTCACTAAAGTAGCCCTGCGCTACGTAGCCATCGTTCAAGACAAAAAGAAGCAAAACGTGAGAACTTTGTGACCCATAACGCTCTCATGAAAGGTACCGTTCAGCAGATTCCTCTGTGTTCTGATCATCTTTTTTTCCTGTTTTCAGTCGTTTGTGGCAGAGGCCATGTTGATCATGGCTACAGTGCTCCATTTGGGCAAGTCCTCTCTGCCAAAGAAGCCTATCACAGACGACGACGTGGATCGCATCTCGCTGTGCCTCAAGGTGCTGTCCGAGTGCTCACCCCTCATGAATGACATCTTCAACAAGGAGTGCCGCAAGTCTCTGTCCCACATGCTCACTGTGCGCCTAGAGGAGGAGAAGCTCTCTCAGAAGGTGAACACTTTCATCTGTACGCATTTAAATCTGTCAATTCACGCTCCACTTACCTGCACTGAGTCATGTCAGAATACATAATACAGTTCATTCATTTAATACTACATTTGTCATTATTTATAGCACAATGTATTTTGTGCAGATGCTTGTTTTCACTTGTTATATTGTTTTTTGACTCTGATTTTGATCCACAGAAAGAATCGGAGAAGCGAAACGTGACAGTGCAAGCAGACGACCCCATCTCGTTCATGCAGCTGACTGCTAAGAATGAGATGACCTCTAAAGAAGACCAGTTTCAGCTTAGCCTGCTGGCTGCCATGGGCAACACACAAAGAAAGGAGGCGGCTGACCCCCTCGCCTCTAAACTCAACAAGGTATGAGACCACAGTGTTCTGCAGCTTAACTCATGTCAGTGAGGTGAAAGGAACGGGGAAGTGTAGTATCTGATATTTGGCCAGCAGATGGCATTGTAGTTTGGCTGACCGCTTTTTCAGTGAAAGTGGGTTGAAACGGGCTAAATGGGTTTAGGCAGGTGATCCGAGTCCTCGGAGTACAGACGTTTCAGTTTTTCAGCAGGGAATGCCTGCTGCCACGTCAGACGTCCTGCTTTGGGTTTTTCTTCTTCTACACACACACTGATGACTGACCCTGGCTAATCAGTTCGGTCGGGCCTGCTAGATCATGTTTGCCCCAAGACTGAAAACCATTTGATAAGTTCCATAAGTTATATATTATACAGTTGTATGCAGAGGTTTTAACACCACAGTGAAACCGTATGTTTTGTTTGTAGTTAATACATCCTCTTCAGGAAACACTTAGATGTGTCCGCTGTTTATTTTGCTGATTTTTAACAACTTGGAGAAAAATTTAAAATACAAACTACAAGATGTGTCACATTGTGTATATATATTTTTTTTAATATGTTAAATTCACCAAATAAATAGTAATTGTGTTTTAAAATGTGCAGAAATGTGTTCTCTGTATAGGACAGGTACTTATTTTTTATTTAGAAAACCAACAAAACGCATAATTTGACCAGTGGTGCCCAAACTATTGCATACAACTGTAGGTTCTCAGTAAAACTCATTAAATCCTTAAATCTCAGATTATACATTAGTGCAGATCGAACATTTGCTAATTTGCTGAAGAACCAAAATAATCTTGATTCTTCCACAAATTGTTGCTGAGCACTAATGTATAATGTGAGAATTAAAGAAGATTAAGTATTTTATTTCCTCTGATGTCTGTATGATTCAGTATAAAGTTGGATTTGATTTGATTTTTATGTAACCTTGAAACCTAAATGTTTCAAGAAAATATATTCAACCTATAACCCCCCCCACACAGGTGACACAGCTGACAGGTTTCTCAGATCCGGTCTATGCTGAGGCCTACGTCCATGTCAACCAGTACGACATAGTCCTGGACGTGCTGGTGGTCAATCAAACCAGTGACACCCTACAGAACTGCACTTTGGAACTGGCCACATTGGGTACAGACACTATTCCTATAACGGTGACCCCCGTATTGTCATTTTCCATTATTCTTTAAATGTGTTGTTCATCGTGAACCTGTTGTTCATCGCAGGTGACCTTAAGCTGGTGGAGAAGCCGTCTCCTCTTACTCTGGCCCCACATGACTTTGCCAACATCAAAGCCAACGTCAAAGTGGCCTCCACAGAAAATGGCATTATATTTGGAAATATTGGTATGTATTCACAGCTCTGTTAACATGCATTGTTATACACCAGTCAGGCATAACACTGTGACCACCTCCTTGTTTATACACTCATTGTCCATTTTATCAGCTCCACTTACTCACATGCACTTCAGATGACTAAGTCTTACACGAGTTGTGTTAAAGCATTCTAGAGAAAGAAACTGTGTGTGGGCCTCATTCTGGAGCCGTCCAAAACAAGACTGCTATATGCTGTGCTACACTGTACACTGTGCCCTGTACATTTGCTGTGAAGGCAGATTTAATGTAAATATTAAAGTAATGAAGAGAAGGGAGAAAACTGCTGATACTACTGTCTTTATACACCGATCAGGCATAACATTCTGACCACCTCCTTGTTTCTACGCTCATTGTCCATTTTATCAGCTCCACTTACTATATAGGTGCACTTTGTAGTTCTACAGTTACAGACTGTAGTCCATCTGTTTCTCTGATACTTTGTTAGCCCCCTTTTACCCTGTTCTTCAGTGGTCAGGACCCCCATGGACCCTCACAGAGCAGGTACTATTTGGGTGGTGGGTCATTCTCAGCACTGCAGTAACACTGACGTGGTAGTGGTGTGTTAGTGTGTGTTGTGCTGGTCTGAGTGGATCAGACACAGCAGTGCTGCTGGAGTTCTTAAACACTGTGTCCACCCACTGTCCACTCTGACACTCCTACTTTGTCAGTCCACCTTGTAGATGTAAAGTCAGAGACGATAGCTCATCTGCTGCTGCACAGTTTGTGTTGGTCATCCTCTAGTCCTTCATCAGTGGTCACAGGACGCTGTTGGCTGGATATTTTTGGTTGGTGGACTATTCTCAGTCCAGCAGTGACACTGAGGTGTTTAAAAACTCCAGCAGCACTGCTGTGTCTGATCCACTCGTACCAGCACAACACACACTAACACACCACCACCACGTCAGTGTTACTGCAGTGCTGAGAATGATCCACCACCCAAATAGTACCTGCTCTGTGAGGGTCCATGGGGGTCCTGCCCACTGAAGAACAGGGTAAAAGGGGGCTAACAAAGTATCAGAGAAACAGATGGACTACAGTCTGTAACTGTAGAACTACAAAGTGCACCTATATAGTAAGTGGAGCTGATAAAATGGACAATGAGCATAGAAACAAGGAGGTGGTCATAATGTTATGACTGATTCGTGTATAATACATGTTTACATTACTCTGTGCATCTTTTGATGCTAATATAATTGCGTGGTTGGCAGTGTATGACGTGTCTGGAGCGGCCAGCGACAGAAACTGTGTTGTCCTTAGCGACATACACATCGACATCATGGACTACATCCAGCCAGCCTCCTGCACAGATGCCGAGTTCAGACAGATGTGGGCTGAATTTGAGTGGGAAAACAAGGCAAGTGACAAGGCAGTATTCCTGATTGTGCTATGATGCTAAGGAACTCCCATTTTCATAGTATTTACTTTTCTTCTCTTCCTCTCTAAAGGTTACAGTTAATACCAACATCACAGATCTGAACGAGTATCTTCAGCACATCCTCAGCTCTACCAATATGAAGTGCTTGACTCCAGAGAAGGTAAAGCCACCGCCATCTGAAGTTTTTCCTCATCCACGCTCCGTCACGTGGTGTTCAACGAGGTGTTTATGCATGACTTTTCATCTGGATTGTCTTTGAAAACTAGGCTCTCTCTGGCATCTGTGGCTTCATGGCTGCCAATCTCTATGCCCGCTCCATTTTTGGGGAGGATGCCCTGGCAAATGTCAGCATTGAGAAACCCATCCACCTGGGTCCGGACGCCCCAGTCAACGGCCACATTCGCATCCGGGCCAAGAGCCAGGTAAGCCGCTCACAGTGCTCCCGTGTCCTCTTTGCTTCCCCACGAAAAAAATTAATACATTTTAAAAGTTAGATTGCCCCTTGTGCCAGCAACTGTATAGGTAAAAAGATAGATGATAATGTTATGAATGAATAAAAAAATGTATTTACCCTTGAATAAAAGAAATTCAAGGGTATTTGAAGGGTATTCTAACATTCTGCCTGGTACATAAAGAATTCTTACGAACATTACCTGCTGTATAGACTCCTTTATTACTAATTCTTCCATATTTTTCCACATAGGGTATGGCCCTGAGCCTGGGTGACAAGATTAATCTCTCCCAGAAGAAAACTGCCTCATAAAGCTTTGAGGCAAACTGAGGCCACTGTAGCTGAAGGGGAGGATTCACCTGGAAGCACCGTGGTTATCTTTATTTCCTCTATCCTCTATCGCTCGTCTCCTTTCTCTCCTGACTCCTGTGTGCACACAGTGCTTTGTTGCCAGGCTAAATAATCCTGTGAAGTATGCGTAAGGGGATTGTTCAACGTTTCTACAACAGGATGTTCTCAAAGCGTTGTGTCCTCATTAATCTGTAATCAATAAACTTTGCTCCACATAGACCATCAAAGTGTACTTTGTTGAATTCCTTTAGTTCATGTAGTTCTGTCATGTGGTACTTTAGTCTTTGCAGTCTTTGTTTATACGAACCATGTTGCCAAATTTACCGCTGCCCTTTTTATGAATGTGCCACCCGTAAGGAGCCAGCTAACGTCTCTGCCCCATAACCACAGTTGACACAACAAAGGATGTCTTCTCTTGGGCGAAGTCTGGAGGATTTAGTTAAGGTCACATGCACTTCAGATGACTAAGTCTTACACGAGTTGTGTTAAAGTATAGCTTGCCTGCATTCTAGAGAAAGAAGCTGTGTGTGGGCCTCATTCTGGAGCCGTCCAAAACAAGACTGCTATATGCTGTGCTACACTTGGCTGTTGGCCATGCCCTGTACATTTGCTGTGAAGGCAGATTTACTGTGAATATTAGAAGGGAGAAAAGTGCTGATACTACTGTCTATATACACCAATCAGGCGTAACATTATGACCACCTCCTCGTTTCTACGCTCACTGTCCATTTTATCAGCTCCACTTACTATATAGGTGCACTTTGTAGTTCTACAGTTACAGACTGTAGTCCATCTGTTCCTCTGCATACTTTATTAGCCCCCTTTTACCCTGTTCTTCAGTGGTCAGGACCCCCATGGACCCTCAGAGCAGGTACTATTTGGGTGGTGGATCATTCTCAGCACTGCAGTGACACTGACGTGGTGGTGGATGGTTAGTGTGTGTTGCGCAGTGACCTTTTAGAAACCTTTCAGCGGTCACTGACATGTAATTTGTAAAGTGGAGATCATGTAGCTCTTTGCTGCAGAAGATCACATTATTTACTAATGAATTAAGATACCATTGCATAATGATCAGCTCTGTTTGCACTGAGTGCTGTGTGTATTAAAATCCAGTGCCAGAAGGGGGGGAGAGAGAGCACTTTATCTGAAGCACACTGTTAACTAAAGGCCCCACACTGTGCCACACAGGCCATTTAACTGCTGCTGCGTCCCTCCACACAGCGCCAGACTTCATAATCACTGCAGATTGCTTATTTCAACTCTATCACTGCAAAGGCCTCCAACATCAACATTTCTTGTGTGTGTTCAGGAATGAAATGGCTCAGTGGTGCAGTGTATTTTAAAGTATAAGAGATATTCCATAATAAAATAAAATACGGCATGTGAAACAAGAGCATATAAGAGCAGTATTCCTGAATGTGTATGTATGTAGTGTGTAGGTGCAAGTGATAAACACCAACCAGCCACTAAGTGCACCTACCTTGTATCTGGGTGATTCTACAGAAACGTCCATTTTTGTGTCCCTTAGCATTTACAGATATATCACACTTCAAAAACATGTTAGGGTTACAATTTATTTATATTTTAAAATAAAACAATAAGTTATTTTAATAATTACACCTTCTTGAGCCTCAATTTAGCAATATTGGTTTTTAAATCAATCATATAGAATTCCAAGCACCATAGAAGAGCTCGTCCCCACAGTCATGTGTGAAGGCTGAGGCCACATTTTGAAGAAAAAAACAAATTTTTCTGCAATTTTAACTACAATAATCTATACATGACTATGAAATATAGAAATTAAATGACATAAAGAAAACAAATGACAAATAAATATTATAAAATATATTATGAAAGTGTGTCCCCAGGAGTCGTGTCACTGGTGTTACCGCATAACAAAAATCTCTTATTTTGAAATAAAAGTCACACTGATGACATCACTCGACTTCCTTTTACCTGTTTTCTGAGGATCTATGAAGAAAAGCTCATGGTGAGTCCACTGTGTCTTTCAGTTATCAGAGATTTTCTCATTTAGCTCATGATTTCATATGAAGCTTTTAGCTGAAGTCACTGGTGTGACCGACTTTATTCTGAGGTAATTGTGAAAAAATAGAACACAAATGGATTAAATTACATATTTTAGTGGATATTCCATGATTGACAACATGTGGTTTGATACTCTGTAGCAGATATTTTTGTTTCATTAAAAATGTCACTGGTGTTAACTTTCTTATGTAACACCAGTGACTCCTATGGAGAGAGAAAAGTGGACGTTTCTGTAGGATGACCCATCTTCACTCTTTGTCCGTTTTATCAGTTCTGTCATCCATTTTTATTTCTGCATACCTTTGTTATCCCCTTTTACCCTGTTCTTCAGTGGTCAGGACCCCCATGGACCCTCACAGAGCAGGTACTATTTGGGTGGTGGATCATTCTCAGCACTGCAGTAACACTGACGTGGTGGTGGTGTGTTAGTGTGTGTTGCGCTGGTGTGAGTGGATCAGACACAGCAGTACTGCTGGAGTGTTTAAACACCTTAGTGTCACTGCTGGACTGAGAATAGTCCACCAACCAAAAACATCCAGCCAACAGCGTCCTGTGGGCAGCGTCCTGTGACCACTGATGAAGGACTAGAGGATGACCAACACAAACTGTGCAGCTGCAGATGAGCTCTGACCTTACATCTACCAACGCGGTAGGGGTGTCTAATAGGATCCATCAAATTTGGATAAAGATAGCCAGAGGGAAATATTTAACTGGCTCTAAAAGAGATTTGTTAAAGTACATTTTTGAAGCACTGATGAAAGAAGCTTCGATCACTCAACTGGCTGGTGTTTCAGTGAACGGTCATCTGCATATAAATGTATGGGAAATACATCAGTAAATAAGATTAGAAATTGTGGTTGAAAGCACATTCAGTGACTGTGATGCTCGTGAATTAATGCGATATGTAAGGACAGAACAGAAGAGCAACAGTTTGCAATGTCAGTGTAGGACATGATCAGACTGTCAGCGAGAACAGTCCATCTGTGGGGGTTTTGCTTTGCCTTTATGGACGTATGAGCAGTCGGGTCTGAGAGTTTTCTTGCTCTTCCAGTTCTTGACTTCCACATTTACACTTAACTTCCATTTCTTAATGACATTTTTCATGGTGGAAATTGTGAGCTGGAAGCGTTTTGATGTCTTTTTTAGCCTTTCCCAGCTTTGCAGGCCTCACTTAGCTTCATTTTCAGATTGTCAGCTGTCTAAAGCAGTTTAGCTCCACCCACACGTTAACGTTATTTCTTTCAGACTGCACTGCTTTTTAAGTGAGGCACAATACAATGCATCCATTCAGAACTTTTACACATTTGCATACAGGGAGCAAAATACCCCCTGGCACTCGGGGGGTCCCATGATGGCTGGCTACTTCAGAGTTGGGTGGCTGCTAATTCACCCACCATAGCAGCACTATTGTGAGCTTCAGCATCTTCGGTTTGAGAAATGAGTAACGATTCACTCTTTCCCCCAGTCTCTTGGGGAATTGGGCAAGTTTTCAGAATTACCAATACGTTACAGCACATTGTGAAGTTTTTCAGAGGAATGTCGAGCATAGTTACAGTTGCTAGGCTGTAAAAGACCAACTGGGTGAACCAATTTCCTACAGCGTCACCCTGAGGCAGAGCAGTGCTGCAGCTGACTTTGCCTGAATTTGTATTTGGGCGTCTACTTTTTCTGAACAGTCAGCATAACGCCACAATATGTTTGTTTTCAGGATTTTGATTTTGAGACGTTAACTGGGGTCCAAGTGGTCAATTAGGAGACCCATAGATACCCAGGACCCCCAGTATTTTGCACCTTGTTTACATAAATCATTTACACATACATACATCATTTACATATATCAGTCTTAAAGGCACGATTAGGATAAGGAGAGCTTGGAAAATGATCATGAAATATTAGTTATGACTGTTTGTGGGACATAACACCACATAAATGTCCCACATGGATCTCGGGGAAATAGTGCTGCTGGAGTTTTTAAACACTGTGTCCACTCACTGTCCACTCTATTAGACACTCCTACCTTGTCAGTCCACCTTGTAGATGTAAAGTCAGAGACGATAGCTCATCTGCTGCTGCACAGTTTGTGTTGGTCATCCTCTAGTCCTTCATCAGTGGTCACAGGACGCTGCCCACAGGACGCTGTTGGCTGGATATTTTTGGTTGGTGGACTATTCTCAGTCCAGCAGCGACACTGAGGTGTTTAAAAACTCCAGCAGCACTGCTGTGTCTGATCCACTCGTACCAGCACAACACACACTAACACACCACCACCACATCAGTGTTACTGCAGTGCTGAGAATGATCCACCAATAGTACCAATAGTACCTGCTCTGTGAGGGTCCATGGGGGTCCAGACCACTGAAGAACAGGGTAAAAGGGGGCTAACAAAGTATCAGAGAAACAGATGGACTACAGTCTGTAACTGTAGAACTACAAAGTGCACCTATATAGTAAGTGGAGCTGATAAAATGGACAATGAGCGCAGAAACAAGGAGGTGGTCATAATGTTATGGCTGATAAAAATGCCCACATTCACAACGTGATGGGTGGTTAAGAAGTGCCTTTACTAGTGCCCACTAATTGAGAACCAACTGCCCAGCTTTAAAAATTTGGTTCAGTTCTGATGATGTATATGAAGCTCGATTTGTCTGTATTTTTGAGTCATTTGTGAGTCTGGAGTCCTGATGGGGAGCAGAATTTCCTTTCTTTTCCGGCAGAAACAGTTTTAGATGAAGTGAATGAATGAAACTGGAATCATCTGTCTTTTTGGAGACGTCACAGACGTTCAGCCGTTCTGTTTCCCCGGCTCTCTCTATTTGGTGAAAGCGTTCCCTCTGGAACCGAACTGGACAGAGCTGTCCTTCCTGTGGAAGGAAGCATCATCCAGCATGTCGTTTAATGAGTTGAAGGAAAATCTGACTAGCGCAGCGCAGCATTAGCAATCATAAGTCTCAATATCACCATGATACATTATTGATCTTGGAAAAATGTAATCATGTGCAGGAGATGGAAAAAATGACACAAAAATAGGAATCATCCAGTCGTTTCGTATGTTATGAGGATTTCCCAATAAAATCCTACGGCTTTAAAAAAAAGGATTATCTCTGCTGTATTGTTTGTTATGGTGGATTAACTACTGCAGTGAAAATCTATAAAGCAGTAAACACTATTTAACAGGTTTAAC